CACAGAGACTTGGTGGAGATAGAGAGAAAGAGAGAGAGGAAACAAGACTAAGAAAAAAAACTGAAGACATATGCAACTGAAGTTGGCAGTTTTTCAAAGGTACATTATTAAGGGTGCAGTAGCACACTATTCCACTGCGTAGAAAAAATAGTAAGTATCACAGGAGACCACACTGGCTTAACTGGGAGATCTTGAATTATATAAAAATTGAAGAGAAGTTCCATAAAAAATGGAAACTAGGTCAAATAACGAAGGATGAATATAAATAAATGACACGAGTATGCAAGGGAAAGATTAGAAAGGTGACAGCACACAATAAGCTTAACCTAGCTAGAGCAGTGATTCCCAAATGGGGTTCCGTGGAAACCCAGGGTTCTGCAAAGTGAAAGGAAGGGTTCCGCAAGAAAATTCCCTCACAATAACATTTTATGATTTAAAAAATAATTAATATGATATGATTTTTGTTTTTAAATATGTGCAATTAAACTAAATATTGATCTCATGCACTTGTTTAGCATTTGTTTATTGCTGTCCTTACTTATTTGTGGTCTACTTTTTCAGGTCCATAGACTAGACTGTTATGAGGGGTTCTGCAAAATTCCTTTGAGTTTAAAAAGGTTCCGTGGCCAAATAAAATTGGGAAACACTGAGCTAGAGACATAAAGGGTAAGAAGAAAACATTCTACAAATATATTAGATGCAAGAGGAAGAGAAAGGACAGAGTAGGTCCATTACTCAACGAAGAGGGAAAACAATGACAGAAAATATGGAAATGGTTTTGGTATTCACCAAGAAGATTGTTGATGATCGGATGCCTAGCACAGTGAATGCTGGAGAAAAAGAGGTAGGTTCAGAAGTTAAAATGGGAAAAGAACAAGTTAAAAATTACTTTGAAAAGTTAGATATATTCAATTCACCACGGCCTGATGAAAAGCATCCTAGAATACTCAAGGAGCTGGTTGAGGCGATATCTGAGTCATTAGCTATCATCAGGGTTCAATAATTATGGCAATCTACTCACCCGGCACGGTGCCGCAGCACAGTCTGCGCATGCGCAGCGTGCCAAACTGCACGGCTGGCAAGTGGGGCTCACAGCCGCTTGTCAAGCCCTGGCTATCATCTCTGAAAAGTCATAGAAGTTGGGAGAGATTCCAAGAAGAAAAGGACAAATATAGTGCCTAACTTTAAAAAAAAAAAGAAATAAGGACAACCTAGGAAACTATACACCTGTCAGCTTCACTTCTGTGCCAGAAAAGATAATGGAGCAAATAATTAAGGAATCCATTTGCAAACGTCTAGAAGATAAAGTGATAAGTAATAGCATGAATTTGTAAAAAAACAAATCATGTCAAACCATTCGAATACCTTTCTTTGATCGGATAATGAGTTTTGTGGATAATGGGGAGAAGCAGTAGACATGGTATACCTAGACTTCAGTAAATCATTTGATACAGTCTCACATAAGCTTCTTATCAATAAACTAGGGAAATACAACCTAGATGGGGCTTCTATAAGGTGAGTACATAACTGGCTGGATAACTGTTCTCAGAAACTAGTTATCAATGCTTCACAATCATGCTGGATGGGCATAGCAAGGGGGATTCCACAGGGAACAATTTGGGGACCAGTTCTGTTTAATATCTTCATCAGTGAGTTAGATGATGGCATATAGGGTATACTTTTAAAGTTTGCAGATTATACCAAGCTGGGAGGGGCTGTAGTTGCTTTGGAGGATAGGATTAAAATCCAAAATAATCTGGACAAACCGGAGAAATGGTCTGAGGAAAACAGAATAAAATTCAATTAGGGGACTGTAGATGTTGCAAGTTAGTCCTGCCCCCCTGGTCCCTTATCCTGCCTTCGTAGTGGGGGAACCAGCTCCATCCCTGGGGCAACTGGGTGCTAGAATGATGTCAGGGTGGGTGTGGCTCAAGCCCAGAACCCTGGGGTCCCCAGGCCAATGCCCTATCTCATTTACAAAAAAAAGCACCCCCTCACAGAAATTCCTGTGTACAGGGCTATATTAACACGAGTGTTGTGAGCAAGATGCAAGAAGTAATTCTTCCCCTCTTCTGTGTTGATTAGGCTTCAACTTGAATAGTGTGTTCAGTTTTGGGCAGCTCATTTCAGAAAAGATGTGGAGAAATTGAGGATCCAGAGAATAGCAACAAAATAATTAAAGGTCTAGAAAATGTGACCTGTGAAGAAAGATTGAAAGAACTGGGCTTGTTTCATCTGGGAAAGAGAAGACTGAGTAGGGACACAATAGCAGCTTTCAAGTGCCTAAAAGAGTGTTATAAGGAGGAGGGAGAAAAATTGTTCTCCTTGGCCTCTGAAGATAGGACAAAAAGCAATAGGCTTAAATTGCAACATAGGAGGCTTAGGTTGGACATTAGGAAAAACTTCCTAAACTGGCAGGATGGTTAAGCACTGGAATAAATTGCCTAGTTGTGAAATCTCTATCATGAGCAGGTTAGACAAACATCTAGGTAGTGCTTGGTGCTGCTGTAAGTACAGGGGACTGGACTCGATGACCCCTTGAAGACTTTTCCAGGTCTATGATAGCACACTACTAAGCATCTTTAAGCAGATGCTAAATATACAAAAATAGAAGAAGGCTCTCTCCCCCTGATGCAGGGGGCAAAAAACAATGATCCAGGCTCATTATCTGATGCTATGATGAGTGTATTACTGAAGTTTCTTATTCACTTGTTTAAAAATAAAATTTGTTAAGCACTTGTTCCACTGTCCAGCCTTGAAGAATTGTCTATATTGGACAGAGGGATTTTATCTTAATTGTCTGTTAACTGTGGTTAGCTAATATATTGGCACAGCAAACAAGAAATTCAGTTTACTACCACAAATATTTAAAAAGTGAATTTAAGTCATGCATATTACTAGTGTGAAAGGAAGGAGAAAAGTCCCCAGTTGGGACTCTTTACTGTACAGGAAGCCGGGTGTGCTACAATGCCAGCTCTGTACTAGCAATCTCTTCTGGCTTTGGCTAAATGCACATTTGCAATAGAGTAGGTCTGGCCAGAGCACAAGTGCACTCTGGAAATGCCTGCTGCTGGAATGTTCCCTTGGGAGCTATTGAAGCTGGGTGATAATTAGAGCAGCCCTGAGGCATCTCTACTTGTGACATGACCATATCAGCCTGAGGGTAGAACATGTGTGTATAAAAGTACAAGTAACATGTCACCTTTGCCCAGTTTCGCTCCTTGTTCTCTAAAAAGACATGTTGAAATTGCACTTGGTTTAATCTAGAGGTGTTACATATTTTGTTTCCCTCTCTGACCATCACAGTTATCAACACAGCTCTGATTTCATATGTATGCAATCAACCCATAGTTCAAAGAAACATTAGAATGATATTAATTGAATACATTTCAACAAATTAATTCAGGGAAATAATCTCAAGATATTCTGAAAGAAGAATTTTCTTATATATTCTCCAGTAACCAATATACTGGAAACAATGGCAGTTTTATAGTAACTGTGATGGGATGCATAGGAGACTGAGGCCTGTGGAGAGGGGGGATGCAGAGGGCCACCCAGAGGGGTAGGAGGTGGCGTGAGGGATCAGGCACCCCAGTTAGAAAATTTAAATTTTGGCAGGGACACAGAAGTGCGGTGCCTCTCTCGAGAGCTACCACGAGTCACCTATGATGCACCTATAAAGGTTAAAACACCCTTGGGTGAAGGATGAGCTGGGACTCAATCAGAAGGAGGCTACAGACAACCAATCAGAGCCTACCTGGACCCTATAATAAGGGTTCCAGGAGAGGAAGCACTCATACTTGCTCTAGCTGTCAAGCAGGAAGGACCTGGCTGCCTGGAAAGCTAGAGAGGGTACCTGAGACAGAGTGGTGCTAGGGAAGGGCAGACAGAGCCGGGGAGCTCTGGCCAGGAATGTGTTACAAGTAACTTACAACATTGTTTCACATATTCAATTAGGGAAGTGTTTCTCAACCAGTGCTAGGAGTACCCTTAGGGGTACTCGAGAGAAGTCTGGGGGGCATAACAATACAACTGAAATTTGGAGAAAATGGAATTTTTGTTTTAAGTTTTACAGCACTTTATTATTTTTGTACTTTTTACACCCAAAAATTTCATCATCTGCCCAGCTACCATTAAGTTGTTTAAACAAATGTGTTGTAATGGTAGAAAAAAATTGTGTGTCTGAAAACTGTAGGCATTGGGGGTACTTATAATTTTTTTTTTTTTTGAAAAAGGGGTACTTTATAAAAAAAGGTCGAGGAAACACTGAACTAGGGAATATAAAATAATGCAACTTAAAATGTCATTGTAGTGGGTCTATATTCCTTTCCTCTCAGTAGTTGTGTATCAAATTTGTTCAGCTTACAGGATTTTTTTTTCTAAATGCCAACTTCACCTAGTATCTTCATTGCATTTGGTCTTATGTACTTTCACCTGTAAGAGACTTGTAACTGGGTTGCAAATTCTGTTGGTGATTAAGAGGAGAAGCCAACATAGCGTATCTACATTGCAGGGCTTAACTCAAAATAAGCTACACAAATGGAGCTACGTCAATTGCGGATCTTATTTCGAAATAGCTTATTTCAAAATTGGGAGCATCTCCACAGCACTTATTTCGAAATGGAGCACTCTTCCTCTGACTTCCCTTTTTCTTTGTACAGTGAGAGTTACCAGAGTGAGTAAGAAGTCCTACAGCTTGACAGTATTTCGACAATATTTTGAAATAACTGCCTCCTGTGTAGACACGGACTATGTTATTTCAGAATAGCGCTAGTTATTTTGAAATAGTGTTGCAGTGTAGACATACCCTTACTCATCCACTGATTGTATTGGATCTGCATAGTAGCAGGAGTAAAAAAAATGATTAAAATTTTTTGTGAAGAAATTAAACATACATGATCTGAGATACAAATAGGAAAAAAGTATATTGCATCAGAAAGTGGCATCTGCCATCACTTCTCTGACCATCACCACACTGAATTAGCACAGATTCCACTTACCACTGTTAAATGTTGCAAAAGGTATGCCACATCAATCATGTCTGCCAGAATCAGAAGTCTAGTGACAGCAGCTAGAAGGAAGCATGCTGCTTGAACAACAGCTTTCCTTTTAGGCAGATAACAGGGATCGTTTGTAAATTCCCTTGCTGTTACGCTTAAAGATTCACCTGCAAGATAAATCCATACATTTTCTTAGGGTACATGCCAAGTCTACAAATGCTAGGCAACATAATTTAACTGAATCATTTGGCATATTGAAAGTGTTATGAGTTGAACTGGCATGTTATTAATGCCTTACAAAGTGAACCATGCACAGGTGTTCTGTGTGATGGGTGATACTTACCTAGCTTTGCAGTGCTGTGGAAGAGATGTTCCATGGAGAAAGAGACAGAGCCCAAAGGTCCATCTAGCCCAGCATCCTGCCTGACAACAGTGGCCAATACCAGATGCCCCAGAGGAAGGGAACACAGCAGGGAATCCTCACATGATCCCTCTCCTGTCACCCATTTCCAGACAAACAGAGGCTAAGGACACCATTCCTACCCATCCTGGCTAATAGCCATTGGTGGACCTAACCTCCATGAATCTGTCTAGCTCTTTTTTTAACCCCGTTAAAGTTCTAGACTTCACCACACCCTCCCGCAAGAACCTAGCTCTTAATTTTGACAGACTGAATTCTCATACACTCAGTCACATTGGCTATCAGACAGAATGTGCCAGACCTATGTATTGTAACCGCTGCTTTTTCCATTACAGTATACTCCCCTTCTGACAGCAGCAACAGAACCCAGGAGTCTGGAAGATCAATGTTTTTCTGCTTTATATAAAGCTATTATATACTCCAGGAGTAAAATGGATCACATTCCTCTCTTGGGGTACGTCTACACTAGCGCGTTAGTTCGAGCTAGGTAGGCAAATGAGGGCAACCGGAGTTGCAAATGAAGCCCGGGATTTAAATATCCCGGGCTTCATTTGCGTGTTCCCGGGTGCCACCATTTTTAAATCCCCCTTAGTCCGAACTAACTGCCCACGGCTAGACGCGGCAGTTAAACGTTAATTCAAACTAACTCCTTAGTTCGAATTAACTGTTACTCCTTGTGACAGCTATATAAAAGTAAGCAACAATTCTTCACCTAGGGCAGGCCTGGGTAAAATATGACCCACAGGCCGGATGCAGCCTCCCAAGCCACCAGATCCAGCCCAGAGCCAGTGGGGAGCTCCAGGCAGGTTCCTGTGCTTGTCCCACACACCACTCAGAAATGTGGCTGTGGGACGCTTTCTCTGAGTCCAGAGGGGAGGGAAGGGAAGGGAGAAAGATTCAGATGCTGCTCCTACCCCCAGCACAATCCCATTAGCCAGTTTCTGGACAGACAATGGCCAATGGGAACTGCCTGTTTGAACAACAGGCAGCCACAAAGCACAACCTTCCTGCTCATTCACTCAAGCACATGGCCGAGCAGGCAGAACCATTTGAAGCTCTGCAAGCCTTTAACTCTGCAAGCAGGCAGGCTGGTAAGTCTCCTGGTGAGAACCTTCCTCTGGCATTTCATTCCCTCCCTTCCCCAACTCTCTGCCCCCACACTCCTGCCCCACTACTTCATATGCATCCATACCCCCTCCCAGATCTGGCACCCCATTTCCTGCTAGTGACTATAATCCCCTCCTACCCTAGGTCACATCCCAGAATCATGAATCCCAGTTCCCTGCCCTAGATCACAACTACTTCCTTCATACAAACTCCCTCCCAGACTCCATTCTACCTTCTGCACTCCAATCCTTTACCCCAAGCTCTGTTCTGCACCCATCCTCTATTCCAGATCCCACATTTCCTCCATTAATATCATGGAAGAGTGTAGCCCCAACCACTTTCCAAAATCTTGGGAGTGGCCCCCTGTCAAAAATTATTGCCCACCCCGATCTAGGGCATGTCTACTCTACAGAGTTATTTCAAAATAACTCATGTTATATCTAAATAACAAGGCAAGCATCCACATAGCAAGCACGTTATTTCAAAATTATTTCAAAATACAAGCTTGCTATAGCTAAATAACCACCCCTCATTCTACAAAGAATGACACCTATTTTGAAATTGCGGTTTCAAAATAGGGTTGTAGTCAGCAAGAGTAAGTCTCAGGTCCGACTCTGGGCTCTCAAAGTACAAAGGACGCTACACAGGTATCTGTCAAACACAAGTAGTTTATTTCCTGACAGCTAGCAGCTGTGCCCCATAACTGGAAGAACAATATAACAAAGAAGCGGCATATCTTATGTCCCTTCCTGCAAGCCTGGAACCACGGGTAGGCTGCGAACAAAGTGGGAGGTTGTCTCAGCTTCCGAGGCTCCAGTACTCAAAGTCCATCGGTGAGGTCCAAATTGCTGTGCTTTGGTGCAGCCTTAAATACAGTTCTCTTGCCTTGTTTTGCAGTTTGGAAATTTCCAGGGGTTACTCATTACGTGCTGATGTAGGGCTTAGCTGTTAGTTATCAATCTGGTTCTGATCTAGTTCTACTTGCACTGATCACGTAAACAGGGTCAAAGAATGTTAGGGTAAACAGAATTGTTTATGCGTTCGTGCCCTTTACTCTTATCTTATACTTGTTCTTGCTATACTGGCAACAATGCTTATCTTAAATGGCATATGTTCCCAAAGACTTCCTTCTGGCTCATCAATAGTTAGGAAAAGGGGGGGGGAGGGAAGAATGCAGGCCTCACCACCCCTAAACCAGCACGTACAAAGTTCTTCCACAATTGAACCCTACAAGGGTAAGTGTGGATGCTCAGCTGTGGTTATTTCGAAATAATTGGCCTTCAGGGATTTTCACAGCTACCTGGTGGCCATTCTGTCCACACTCCTCAAAACTCTATAGCTTCCCTTCTCTTGCAGGGTTTAAAGCTGCCGGTACAAGGGAAATGGATTGTGGCATGACATGTGCCATGCTAGCACTAGTACCGCACACCAGCACACCCTTCTCTGCCTTCCCTGCTGCCATGAGTGACCCACAACTCCCTCCGAGACCCCCACGGCTGCAAGCACTCCAACAGCCAGCTCAAATGCCCCTGGCTAGCGGTGTAACAGGGCACCCTTCTTGTCTGGTGCAGACATCCTGGATCTCTCATGGAGATCTGGGAAGAGAAGGCAAACCTCCTGGATCTCTATACCAGACACAAGAACGCAGATGTCTATGGCTGGATGACTGCAAGCCTGGCCCAGAAGGGGCACATGCACATGCTAGACCAGGTGCACATGAAAATTAAGGAACTGTGGCAGGCCTACACCAAGGCCAGGGAACAAAGTTCCCACTATGGAGGAGCACCCCAGACCTTCTGGTATCATAAGCAGCTGGATGGCATCCTGGGAAGGGGCCAGTTACCTCCCCGCCCCCAGTTGTGGACTCCAGCCTGAACACACCTGTTGTCAGCCTTCAGGAGGGTGGAGCTGAGGACCAGAAGGAGGGGGATAAGGAGGAGGCCAGCCCACCAGCCAGGGCTTGTACAAGGCAAGGGAAGGCACTTCAGGTAGTTACATAACTTTCCCTATCTTCACACCAGGGGAGGCGGGTTGCAAAGGACTTCATGCTCCTCACTCAGCCTTCTTGGCCAGGGGGTTACACAACAGCCTGTGCATGTAGGTGCACATGGAGCGGCAGTCCACAGCACCCATAAGGCTGTCACTTAGGAACCTGTCACTCCTTCTTTCAAGATTCCTGCACAGGCCTGCCTTACTCCCAACTCTGTGATGGGACACCTTTCTATGACAAACTACCAATAAGGAAGCTGGGGTCAGGGAAGCACACAGCAGTGCCACACAGCACACAGTCCAGCCTACACTCTCAGGGTATGTCTACACTACCCCCCTAGTTCGAACTAGGGGGGTAGTGTAGACATACCCCTTCTTTCAAGATTCCTGCACAGGCCTGCCTTACTCCCAACTCTGTGATGGGACACCTTTCTATGACAAACTACCAATAAGGAAGCTGGGGTCAGGGAAGCACACAGCAGTGCCACACAGCACACAGTCCAGCCTACACTCTCAGGGTATGTCTACACTACCCCCCTAGTTCGAACTAGGGGGGTAGTGTAGACATACCCAACTTGCTAATGAAGCCCGGGATTTGAATTTCCCGGGCTTCATTAGCATAAAGCCGGCGCCGCCA